AGTTCTTGATGTTATTCTTAATGTCAATATCTGGAGTGAAGTCATTTGCAGAGACTTTCAAGAGTTTAGCATTTCTGCAGCTTTAGGGGGAATCCCTTAAACTTATTGAACTTTCTAAAGTGTAATAATTGTGGAAAACTCTTGACTTCTACTTCTGCGTATTAAGCGTTGACCTGCATTAAACTATTTATACCAGTAGTTATAAACTTAGTATACTAAGATGATGTTGCTAAAATACACCTTTATGAAGTGTGAAATGAATTAATTAGGTGTGATTATACCTACTTGATAAAAGTTGAAATATTCCACTTTAAATTCATAGATTTAATTTTATGACAGTCATATCACCTTACTTTGCTTTCTGTAACTACTTATTAATATTTATACACTTCATTAATATTTATGTAATTCAATTAATATGTTGTATAAATTCAAGTGTAGGCTCATTCTGTCTTTGTCTAAACAAAAAGGAATCCAGTAAACTTGGGAACAATTTTGGTGTCATTCATTTTAATATAATTCTATATCTTTCTACTTTTTTCACATTGTCATTGGAAGTTAAGTATCCTGTAGTGCTGCAAGTTTAATTTTTCTCTTATAATTGCACATTTTTTGGCAAACTGCAGCATTCAAGTTCAATTTTTTTTAGAATTGATTGAATTAAATATGAAAATTGATAGTACATTAATCTCATGCTTTTCAGAAATTAACTTTTGTAGTCAATATGCTTTTACATGTGAGGTAGTGTAGTCTAGTGGTAGTACCAGAGCAGGCTGCAGGAGAATTGGTTTCTGTTCCTAGCTCTGCTACTGCTCCACTGGGCATCCTTGGGTGCATCCCTTTACCTCCCTATGCCAGTTTCCTTTATGTGTTTTTTAAAAAGGGGTGGAGGATGAATGTACTGACCTCATTTTGTAAAGATCTACTGAAGAAAAGTACTGAACAGATATTCAGAATTGTTACTAAAAAATAAGCTACACATGTGGGTGAGAAGTAGAGATTAGGTTTGGGAAGGAGCCTTCGATATATAATTCACTATGTAAGTATTAATTGTGCTAAATGCTGTGAAGAAACCTGTCTACGTGAATAATGAATTAAAACAGAGTCTCTCTCTGGGCATTTGGTAATTCATTTCTAGTGTACCAGATGCTTTGTGTTCCATTGAAATCTGTATGGGATGGGGTTTTGATTTATAACTGTTGGCCTATGATTTATTGTTCAAAAACATGCAACTTGGAAAGCAGCTACTCAATATTGGGCGATTTTCCCCCCTTTCGGCATGCAAAATAGGTGAACAAAGTGCAAGGAGAGGCAGAAACTGAAGGAAGTGCTAGCTATAGAGATGATCTCAGGCAGTCCAGAATGGCTTATGTTGGAGAGTGCCTACTTCAGGCACACTGCCCACACTGGTGGCTTGTTCTAGAATTCAATTCCATCAAGCCAGTAACAAATGTGAACTCCTGGGTCATTATACCATAGAGCCACAGACTGGAGGGTCTTGGGGGACAGTCCATCTTGCCACCCAAACTGGACATGGGGATAAAATGGTTACAGAAACTAAAAATCACGCCCCATCTGGTTGCTCCCAATCCCAATAGAGCAGTCACTTACTCCACATCAAAGGAAAATCTAGATCCTATGACAAAGACCATGCTAATCACAAATTCTATCATCAATTAAATGAAGGTTTATGAAGCTATTGAAAGGTTAAAAGAGGTGAAATATTTGCATAGATGAGTCACACTTTGTAGTCCCAACTGGTGGCAACAACATAATAAACCACCAGTTTCCCAAAAGTCTCTTCAGGGTACTGAGGTTGTCTCTGGGGTTCTCCACTTTGCATCTGGTACGCTTCTCTGTCCGGGCACATCTACACTCGCTGAGCCAGGGACCAAAGTGCTGGCATTCCGTTTAGCGGGTTCAAACATCAGCCCGAGTCTTTTTCTGCCTTACCCATCATCATTTCCTGGTGTGCATAATGGCTGCAGTACCTACATAATTACTGCATTACGGGTTGAACCATTCTAAGACTTGAAAAGAGGAGACTAAGGGGCGATATGATAGAGGCCTATAAAATCATGCCTGGTGTGGAAAAAGTGAATAAGGAAAAGTTATTTATTTGTTCCCATAATATAAGAACCAGGGGTCATCAAATGAAAGTAACGGGTAGTGGGTTTGAAACAAACAAAAGGAAGTTTTTCTTCACTCAGCGCACAGTCAACCTGTGGAACTCCTTGCCAGAGGATGTTGTGAAGACCAGGACTTTAACAGTGTTCAAAAAAGAACTAGATAAATTCATGGAGGTTAGGACCATCAATGGCTATTAGCCAGGATGGGCAGGGATGGTGTCCCTAGCCTCTGTTTGTCAGAGGCTGGAAATGGACAACAGGAGAAAGATCTTAACTGGGACTCTCTAGTCTTGACATACCTGTAGTCCTGCCAGCCCCACTGGGCAACCCCCCAGAAGGCAGGACCTTGGATATTCCAGGACCAGAGAATCCCGGTTTAGAGAGGTTCAACCTATAATGCAGTCATTATAAAGGTACTACAGCCATTATGCACACCAGGAAATGAATGATGATCTAGCGGGTAAGACATAAAAAGTCTCAGGCTGAGTTCTTGGAGGTTTCTCACGGGACTCTAGGAAGTCACTTAATCTGACTTTGATTTCCCTACCTAGCACTGGTGTTTGGATACTTACATACTGAATCAATGGATACATGTGGGGGAGGGGGCATTTCCACCTGAGCCTTTGTGTATCCTAGTCCTTTTTTCAAGGGCAATCATGTCCTATTTAGATCCTTTGCAAAGTGTCACACACCGTGATTCACCCAGAACTTAAGAACAAAGCATTTGGATCATTTAAAAAAAATTAAACGTAAAGCAAAGATATTTGCAATGACATCTTTGATGTTTTATAGATTAAGAGTCTGTCTCTCATGAATAATAGTAATTTCTTCTTCATCTATTTTGTCTGAGTTTGGGGAATTTTCATTAACCAAGATTAATAGTAACTGC